TGAGTCCGGCTCTTGCTTTTTCTTAATATTTTTTTTGTTTGTTTGCTTACTTCTCTCTTGTCACTGCGTTTCCTTAACGACTTTGGCCTTTCAGCTGAACCATAAAAACATAGCCAGAAAAAAAGTAACACATTGAAAACATGCTTGTATTTTAGTTAATTAATTAAATTGCAATTAATATGAAAAGTTAATTTCCATGTGCACTTCGTAATTTGATTTATATTCCCACACACACTGACAGTATTTGCCCACTCAAATGCGTGTGAAGTGTCAAGTTTTTATTATTTACAAAATATAAAAAACAACTTGCATAAACCACAACTCGACTGGCAGTTACCCTGTAACTACTTTAACAGACTAGTTCGCTAAATTATTCACTAATGCAAAACCCAAAAATTATCGCTGATTCGGCTAACGATGCAATCAACTAAGTCACTTGTTTTTAAGCCATAAAAGTTGAAAGGGTATCATGGCTTTTGAGTATTGGGAAAATCAAAAACATCGTCGCTAATTCAGTGCACGGCTGGTTCTCCACAGTATTAATTATTGGAAAATACAGAAATATTGTCGTTGATTTTGTTCTCATTTTAAACAAACATTTTTATAATCTGAAACCATTAAAAATGGGTAAAAGGAGTATTAAGTTTTATCAGTGGTGCGTGGCGATTGGCTTGTAAATCTGGTTCTCCACATTCGTAGACTTAGGTCTTGCTAAAAATCTATTAACGTAATCTTTAATCAAATTTTATATTTTGTTCACAATTAAAGCATTAGTAGCCAATGTCAGGCAGTAATTGTAACAGAACAAATCCTTTATTTTATCTCGATATTTTCTGCCTGTGGATTAGGAGATTGTATAGTTCTTTGAAGAAGTATTTTGAAATCATCAGAAATTATCCGTTTTTGCTAAAAGCTACGTTTTTTGTTTTGCTTCAGTAAAGCAGATTTGCACCTTAAGTTAGAAATATCAGGCTTGTGATATTTTGTACTTAATTTCAGAAAATACAAACTTCTGAGCTAGCTTAAACACGAAATAAATTGATTTAAATGAACTATATTTCTACCTCAAGGCGCTTGGCACAGATTAATTTATATTGATCTGTATTTTCAGAGCTTAATTCTTATGGAATGATAAGTGAACTAGAACTAGTTGTAAACGGTGTTCTCTGATAGACTTACGTATCTGACAAAATTGATGTATTTACTTTAAAGGCTCTAAGATGTTGCTGCTTAGTTACATAATGTATGTAAAGTTTGATGGTACCCGCTTGGGCATATTTAATGAGCACAGGGTACTCATAATATTTATGGCAGCCAACGCTGCGTATGCGCAATCAATTGAGCGTCAAAATAGTTTGGCAAACTCAATTACAATCTTGGGGCGGCAACTGGCAACTGGCAACTTACTCTGGTAATGAGACTTGAAAATTGATGTGAAAGCATTTGCATAAAAAGCGCGCTGGCAACAAACAAAATAATTAAAACGGGGCAACAACAACTGCCACTGCAACAGCGGCAACAACAACAATAAAAACAACAAAAGTTGCAGTAGTTTCAAGAAAAATGGCGCGTTTACATGCAAATTATGCGAACTGTGGCAATAAAATAAGCGCGCGTTGCGGAGACGAAATGGAGTCGCGCGGCTGCATAAATATATGCGATATAAATATGTGGCAGCCACTAGCTGCATGCCACTGACAACATTTGCATATTCTAATTATAAGTGCAACAACGGCGGCGCATTTGTCATTTGCCATAACGGACAAGCGCCTCGAATGGAGAGGCGCCAAGGCAGCCAGAGTCCTTCGCGTGGGCAACTGCTTAGCCATAGTTCAATGCGCAGAGCAATGTCCCTTTGCCTTTGCAAGGACCTTCGATGCAACAATGCCACACGCTCACCCTTACACACTAGCAAAACTTGTCTGCGCACCATTTTTCGTATACACTTGCAGAGGGTATTCTCATATTAAGTCGAAATATGTTACTCTAGAAGAAAACATCTCCGAGCCCAGATCAATTTCATTTATTATTATTTAGCGATTTTTGTCTGTCTGTTTTGATGCGAACCGTCAGTTTGAAACCTATCGTCATAGAACTTTGCATTGGTTCGCTACGTTAAAGCTGCAATGGCAATAATCGTGTGAAATTCCTTGTTTGATAAACCATCAAAATGGAACTACTAATCCAGTAGGAAGATTTTGAGTTTTTGAAAAACTTTTCTATTATTCAGAATATCTTGTACCATATAGGTAATATAGGCGAAATTGGTCAAAGCCTGATTTGTTGTAAGTATTACTTTGACACACTTCTTCAAGCGTATTCAGATATCGGCGTGCCGGCAATAGCCATTCTCTTTCTTGTTCTATTTAATTTTCTTATGCGCATGCAGCTGCTGCTGCTTGGCTCCTTGCTGGTTCACTTGAAGGATAACGCGTGCAATGACATGGAGTGCTCCAGCGGCAGCTGCAGTTGCAGCGGGAGCAGCCCCAACAACAGCTGAAGTTTCCGCAATTCCCTTGCGTGCGTGCCACACACTCTTTTGTATTAGTTTCATTTGGCGCAGCTACTTTGGCTATTTATTTAGATTTCATTTTATTTGCCAGCGGGCGCTGCTTTAATTGACTGTGGCCAAAGGAAATTCACATCCCGTTGCTGCTGCTGTTGCTGCTACAGTCGTTAATCAGCGCCAAGCGCTTCGACTTTAAGTCGGCAAAGGACCCTGCAAAGAGGTGCAATCAGGCATGCACTTATTTTGATAATCGCATCAGGCATTTGATAGCCTGGCATCAAACAAATATTGCGCAAGGACAATTGAGTAAGTGCACAAAGGATTTAAAATGCTCGCATTGTGCATAGGATTTTTTGTTCCTTTTGGGCAGAGCCAATGAAGCGCGTTGCCGTGTAGCAATGCAAATAGACCAAGCGGCAGGAGGCAAAAAGAAACAGAGGGAAGAGCACGTTGTGCAATGATAAAGCCAATGCCAGGACGAGCTGAACAAAATATAGAAAGAGTTGGATAGTCAAAGTTAGAATACTCTTGCACATTATTACTATTATTATCATTATCATTATTATTATTTGTAAATTTTATAGCATCATAATATTAATAAAGCTATCATAGCTATCTTATTAAAGGAACAGGGTATATTATAAAATACCGCTTTCTAAGTATAATGCGCTTCCCAACGAATTTATAATATCCTTCGCAAGGGTATATAAAAAAATCGTTCAATAAGATTTTGTCACTTGCATTGGCAAGGAGTTTTGGGCCAGCTCTCGTCTCGCTCGGCAGTCGGGGCAGTCATCCATATTTGCCATTCCGTTTTGGGCATTTGTCGAGCTACACAATTTGCTGCTCAATTGTCTTGGCAACGTCTACCCGCGCCCGCCCCCTCATTCTGTTCCGCTCCTCAGCTGGCGTTGTCCCACTCGTTGTGTGCCATAATTCAATTGATTCTTTGCAACATTATGTATATACAAAATGCTCATCATGTTTATCGCTGGCAATAACCATCCATTCCAAGAGTCATCCACCTGCAACAGACACACACGCACACACTCACTCTTTATATATATATCTTTGCTGTAAGCCTTTTTCGATGGCTTGCACTTGAGCCTGGGGACAAATGAGCTCTACATTATTACGTTTTATGTCAAGTGCTCCTCATTGACGTCATCAGAGCTCCCCGCTTGCCAAGCTCGTTGCACCCATGCTCCAGTGCTTCAAACTCTTATGATTCCATTGAGGACACACACTGCATATTCGTAATCCTTCAATGGCGCACGTTGTCCTTTCACGCACAGAGTACGGCATATGCTCAACTTGTTTTTGTGTATCCCAATTAAGTTATAATAGCTTTATTTTAATCTTTGTATTTGTATCTGCATTTATTATCAATTTGATAGTTTGTAGTTTTTATAATTTTAATATTAATAATATTATATAAAACAATATAGTAATGATAATGATAATGAAAATGATATTGATATTGATAATCCTAATGATAATGATAATGATAATAAGTATGATATTGATAATGGTAATGAAAGTGATAGTGATAGTGACCGTGGAAGTGATAATTACAATGATAATGATATTGCAAATGATAATGATTAAAATAATGTAAATGATGTTTGAATCTTTGTTAATCATACTAAGAAATAATCTATTTCTAATGAGGAATAAGGTTTTAGTTTTATTTTACTTATAACAAGAGGGCATAACCCGGAATTGCCCGCGACACGTACAAAATAAATTTTCTAAAGAAGCTTTGAAAATTATTTTGAAACTGATCGGACAAACTTTAATACAAACGTTTTCCGCCAATTTAACAATTGTTGAACGTGGAATTTCCCAAATCGCTGAAACATGTATTTTTATGTGGAGCTTCGCAAAACTTAAACTTATAACTTAGCGCAAATAATCTTTGAGTCGCATTAGGTTTCTACGAAAAGTGAGAAACACGCCTCATATGATTTTTTATGTAGATCTTTGGAAATGAATTTGAGGGCAAAATGTCACCCTGGAAATCTTTGATCTCCATTTCAACCAAGGAGCAATGCCTTTTTTTTTTTAAAGTGTGCATCAACCCTATAATGAATTTGAACAAAGATCTTTTAAAATGAGTTTAAGACCGATCGGATGGTAAACAAAAAAGTCCCATACAAAGGTTTTTCGCGACTTTTCCGCCCATGCGTGTAATATTTCCTGAAACCCCGTCTTTATTCAGTATGCATTGAAAGTCTCTTTGAAATCTTTGGAATAGGTGCCAAAAAAGCTTTCAAACTGAATTATTGTATATATCTATAAATATATGTGTATGCATAAGTTCTCAATATTAATATTAAGAATAAGAATAATAATATATTACTTTTGAATTCTCCAACCAATGACGATGTTAGAGATAATTGAGAAACAGCTTCAAGGGACGCATTTTAGTTGACTAAGGGAGTTTTTCCAATTTCCCATTGCTGCATTTAGACCCAAAGTAGGCGGGGAAATTTACATATTCTGGACTTTTGTGCTGTGCAAATAAACAAAATAATATTTAATTTGCCTGACGACCTTTTTGTCATCGTTTTAATTAATAAATGCCAGCAACAGCAGCAACAACAATTATAATACAAAAATAACTTTTCAAAGAGTTTTGATAGCGACAACTGCCTGAAAACACAAATAGCAAAAACAAAGTATTGCAACAAATTAATCAACTTTTGTTGTTCCCAGCACCGGAAAAGACAGAACAGAACGGGACAGGAAAGGATACTATCGGACAGGACACACGCATTGGATACGCTGGCCGGAATTCATAATTTGCATAAAGTCAAATGCAGCGACAACGTTGAAGCCAACGCACGTCTTTTTGCTTTTCACTTCAATATAAATTGTGGCTTAAATCAACAATAAGCGCGCGTGTGTGTGCTGTGAGTCCTGCGACCTTTTACTTATTGACTGCTCTTGAGGCAAGCTTCTATGTTTATGTTCAGCTCTACAAACAGCATAAATGAATGCGGCGCATTCAAAAAATTATTATATGCTTTATTTATTATTCATTGAGTACCTTATTCAATGGGTATATGTGTCATAGAAAACACGACATTTTGAACAAGGATATTTTTGTGCGTAGTTATATTCTTTTTTTTTAATTTTTTAAACATATTTCAAATGGCAAGGGACTGGACTAGAGTAAAATTGAAGACTGTTTGTTTTTTTTTCTGGTTTCAGGTGAATGAAAATCCAAAGAGATTTTATTCCAATAATTAAAATCAAATGCTAATTCATTTTGGCTCAAGGTAATATCGACTTATTTTAAATTATTTTTAATTTATGCATTTTTCTTTTTCAGGGTGTTGAGCTGTGAGTCGCCATTCTATGCGATATTCATGATCTAATGTATGCAGCAATTTGATGGTTATTCTTTTTTCTTTTTCTACCTGACACTCGCGTTTCAAATTCTTTCTTTCTGTCACTCTCATTCTTTGGCTGAGCTCTTAATATCACTAAGCTGCCTCTTTCTTACACTCTCTCCCTCTCTCACTCTACTTTACTGTCAGTCTGTCTTTCTTTCACCACATGTTTTTGCCTTTTTCTCAGTTCTCTATACCTCTTTTCTATTTCATATCATTTTCTTTTTCTCTCTTTCTATATCATTTCTATATCATTGAATCTCATCCCATTTTTGCCCTCTTCCGCTTTTGTTCATCTCTTTTCTGTCACTAATGTTTCATTGATTTATAATCGTTTGTTATCGCCTTTCTTTACGATTCTCATAAATTAGTTTTTTCTGCGTGTAAAATGTAAAACTAGTAACCTAAAAATTGACTCTTACTAATAATATGTTTATACTTGAGCCCGACCCACCAATCGCTAAGTTTCTGTTGTACTTCGTTATTTATAAACCAATTACTTGTAAGACGGTATATGAAAGTGATGTAACTACTGAAGAGGAAACTTTAAATAAAAATATAAATTCCTATGTTTATATTTAAACTTTCGGTCATAAATAGTATATAAAATATATATAGTAATTATGTCGAAGGAGGCTTAATGTGATTTAACAACTGGTCGCAGTTACTCTTAAGAGCTACATTAATTTTAGTTGTTATTTATAATTTAGTCGCAGTGGTATGAGGGGGCCTGCTGAGAGCGGGGTGGAGACTGTTTAATAAAGCGGGCCGCCACGGAAATAGCGCTTTAAGTGGGCAGTTTTAGGAGTCTCTAGGTTGGGGATGCGTCGAGCGCAGAGTCCGTTAAAATAGCTGGCAATTGGCACGTGACTGGGCTACCAAAATAATCCAGAGCTGAGTCCACGCTGGCAGTCGCTTTGCGTGTGATTTAAAAATAATTAAACACGTACAACGAATAACTGTAATTTTCAGTCACGCAAGGGGGATATTTACGGGGGGTGGGGTACCTTGCAACGAGAAAATTTAAAATTAACATTTTTATTTATTTGAAAAATAACACTCGATGCCGGCTCATTGGGCATTGGGCAGCTGTTGCGTGAGCATCGACCATGTCCTGGGCAATGTCCTGGCTGTCGTGGTCCTGTCTGTGGATGCTGCCATTGACGATTTGCTCGGGCAGCGGCTCAAACATTCTGATGATTACCATGGACGGCACGAAATCGTACAAAATACCCTTCGGGGCATTGGGACGAGCGCTTATCAAGCGGTGAGAGTGTCCCTTTTACAGCCGGATGGAATTTTAGGTGGGGTGGCGGGGCTTGCTCTGTTTTGTAGTGCAGTGTACATAGTGTGTAGTGCTATTGCTAATCCCCGCAGTGGCCATCGGATTACGTTTGTGAATGGCTTTCAAGCGGATTTCCATGTGGATGGGCTGCTTGAAGTGACACCGTGCCGACTCGTTCAATATATACGAAACTATACGGATTGGGATTTGGTGGACGCACGCTATGCTGGGCACGCCCTTCTCTCAATGGGCGATGCGATGCAATATCCAATTGAGGTAACTGCCGAGCGCCACATCAAAGTGGAGTTAACAAACACATACACACTCACACACACACACTCACACACACACACACACTCAGATGCATACACGCACAGCCATCAGAAGGATATGCTTGCGGCTGACGTTTATTACTCAATGGCCGGACAGGCGTGCAACAGTTTGCTCAGCGATCCTGCCACACAGCGTCTACTGCGGCATGCAGCAGCAGGACACACCCAATACCAGTTGGCGATTGTGGATGGGGCATTTCCGGAATGCGCGCTGGGCATTGTGCATCGCTTAAATGTAACGGCATTCATCTACATCAATACGGTGGCCTTCTACACCGGAAGCGTCTCGTTGGCCGGCAATCCGGATGCGTATGCCGTCACGCCTCATGTCTTTGCCTCATGGACGCTGCCCATGCACTACTTGCAGCGTGTGGCAAATTGTTTAACTCATGTTATTGCCGATTTGCTGCACTGGGTGAGTATCCGTCCGTCCGAGTCTATAAAGACAGCCTATTGGTTTTCCACTTCTCTGCCATCACACACACACACACACACACCCGCCCTTTCTCTCTATTCAACTGTGCCCCTGTGGTATGAAAGCGTCTAGCAAACGCATTAATCCTTGCCTTGATTTAAGACCAATTTTCTGTATGTCTGATGCGTGCGTACACAGTAAAAATTGTTACCAATAATTTAATTTTCAACTCTTTAAAGTTTGTAAATATTTGTAATTTTGTTTTACCTTATTTCCAGTTTAATTCGATTTAAAATAAATATTAAAACCTATGATACTTTAAGAAATTTTGAAATTAGGACTTGCTTAACTCAATGTTTTATATTAGAGTATTCCCTCTGGCTAGGGTTCTATAATTTTGTCATGAAATGTGTAACGACTGACATCTCCTATATATTGTCTTGATCAAAATTTGTCCATCTGTGCATATACGCCGGAGCTGACCGCATCGGAACACTACGATACACTTTGATTGATTGTTTGAATTTTAAAATAAATGACCAAAATCTAACTATTACTATCTACCTTATTATCTATCTACTGATTACTATCATGTAGTTTTTTATCAGTAATCGCAAAACAATTTTGCTATCCAATATGTCTTGACCTATCTATTTTCGGTAAATCCGATTCAAATCGAATTAATCGTAAAGCAAACTTGCTTTGAAAACCTTTTTAACCCACATGTAAATATAATTAAACTGCGGATGAGAATTTTATGCATTTACCGCATTTACCATTTATACTCTCTTAATTTCGAAGCTCGCTCGCTTCCTTATAAGTAAGATATTTAGTTAGCTTTGATAGCTTAGTTTAAGAACGACCGGTGGGCAAACAAACAGCAACAGAATCCCTCCAGGTACGATTCCAATTGTCATTCTGTTATGAATCTGATATGATAGAAAAATGTTTAACAGCGTAATTTTTAAATTATCACCCAATAAATTATTACGTGACTATTTGTTAAGAATGGTGTGCGCCCTAATTTTATATATTTTTGAGCAGTGTTTTCTTCTGTGTTAAATGTTTGACCAATTTTTGAGTCTAAAGGGAAATTGTTTACTGTGTAGCTGACACGTCAAGTGCCAACGAGCATTGCCGGGGCTCACCTGACCATGATTGGCTCCTGATTTATCATGCATCAGCCTGATTAAATGATGCTTAGTGGCCAGTGCCTGTCGGACAGTGTGTGTGTGTGTGCAAGTGCCAGTGTGTAGGCTTGTCTAAGCCGTTTCCGTTTTTCAGGTCTGCATGCAGCGTGTGCATCGCCTGCTGCGCCAGCATCTGGCCTGGATGTGCCACATCCCTATGTGTTGGCTATGGAGGTGTCCTTCATTTTATAAAATGGATACCCCAATGTGCGCCATCCCAGCGCCCGTTTGCCCAATGTGGCCGGGGTGGCCTGCTAGCACTGCCGTTCCGCTGTCAATCTCGGCCAGCTGGATGCCGAGCTGGCTTGAGTTTATGGCCGCGGCGCCGGCCAGCGTCATTTACCTATCGATGGGCTTCTCGGTGCGCTCGGAACGGCTGCCGGCGGCGCTGTGCCAACTGTTTGTCGCGGTCTTTACGCGTCTGCCGCATCATCACGTGCTTTGGACGTGGGCGGGCAATGCCACCGAGCAGCTGCCCAACCTGCCGGCCAATGTCCGCGTACGCGATTGGCTGTCTCAGCAGGATATACTTGGCCATCGGCGGCTCCAGCTATTCATTACACACGGCGGTCTCCTCAGCCAACACGAGGCTGTTTTTCATGATGTGCTGCTCCTGATGCTGATGCCCGTGTTCTGCGACTACGCTGCCAATGCCGCCCAGGCCCAACACGATTGCTATGCCAGGCAACTGGAGCTGGCCCAGCTTGACGAGGAGGCGCTTTATTGCGCCATATACGATGTCCTGCATAATGATTGCTATCGGCATGCTGTCAGGTATTCAAGTTCCCATTTTAATCGAAGCACATTTCCTTGTTAATTCGCCTCTCTTACGGACGTCGACGCGCTCTCCTGCCAGACAAGCTGGCTTGCCTTGCGGCAGTCTCTCTACTAGAAGAAGTATGTCATCAGGCGCAAGGGCGCAAATCATATGCAGCATCCATCCAGGCAAATGAGGTACTTAAAAATTACAAAAATGAACTTTGCAGAAATTGAAAATTTAGTCTCCATATTCTTTTTGAAATTAAAGAATTTTCCAAAATACGACTTGGGATGTTCTTCTAAAAAAAAAACTTGTACCCCGGCACACTTATAGCAATCTTTATTCCTCGTTGCTAATTTACAAACATTTCAAATAAATACAGCATTAAAATAAATTATATTTAAATGCCTTTTATTTTGCAATAAAATGTGTAATGCACTGAAAGTTAAAGTAAAGTGAATATTCTTAAAATATTACTTTGATCGATTATAAGTGTTAATAATTTTACAAGGGGGACTTAATTTTATTGTACAAAAAAAATGTATTTCTATATTCAAGTCTGTTGGCAATTATTTAAGTTTATTTACTCTTCCAAAACGAAACAGATTTTTATAGTTGATGGCATTTTAGGTTTGTTATGGTTTCTGTTCTAGATTTTAGGTCTTTAGTTGAGTCTTTGTTAAACAAATCAACGCTTGTCGTAAAAGTTATGTTTGTGAATTAAGTATGACTTCGTTCTTATTTATTAGGTATTCAAGAGTTTTTGGAAATTCTGTATTGAATTTAAGAAGTGTTGAAAGTAGCCCAATATTATTAATGTATTTATTTCAGTTTCGTTAGCTACCGTTCGCTGGATGTCCTTGCGCTGCTGTTGGTCCTGCTGCTGCTGGTGCTGCTAGCGTTGGGTATGCTTGGCAAATATCTAGCCAGAGCCGTTGCGCGACAAGACTGAAAAACAGCTTAAAAATTTAATGACAGCAGATTCGGGCAGCGTAATTCCCTTTTGATGTAGATGTCCTGCAGACGGCACTGAAGTCATTGTCCGGCGGTGAGGCCAGAGGGCAGCAAAAGTTTCCAACTGCATCCGAATTGGAGTTGGAGTTGGAGTTGTCGCTGCAGCTGGAGCTAAAGTTGTGACTGTCATCATTGCAGTAGTAGTCATGTGCTTTTTATGACTTGTCAAAAATTGCAAAATTGTCATTGTGCAATGAAATATAAATGTCAAGAGATTTTCCAAATTGTGTTTTGCTGTTTCCGCCAACCCGCTGGCGTTGTCTTTGAGTCTCATGCAGCGGAAGCGGAAACGATAATGCAGCAGCACACACACATACCCACACACTCACACACACATGCAGCTTCCAACAGAAGCAAGTTCTCGCTGACAGAGAGTCTTGCGGCCTGACAGCCTCGCGGCGAGGCGCCGCAAACGAAAAACGAAGTGACTGCCGAATGACTGGCACATCACATGCCTCTACACTTAGAGAAAACAACCACCAATTCGCGACACACAATTCAAATCATTAACATTAAAATCCAAGCTCAAATTTTGACTGCTCATTCCCAAACTTTACAAGCTTAACCATACTAAGCCCACAAAAGTTTAACCAAGTTGGACCTATAAACAAGAATGTATATTCGGGAACTTTCTGGGACAACAGTCCTCAATCCTAGCAATTGAAAAGCCTTTAGGCTTATTCCAAGTAAGCAAATTCTTATATATATTATTTGACTTAATTATTTTAAAATATTTTCCCTTTTAAACATCAATATTAAATTTAAATTAAGTTAATAAAAATGTTGTTCCCTTTACAACCACAATTTTTTATTTTAAAGCGAGTAAGACTCATCTTAATTTTGGTATATACAATAACGAAGTTAACAGTACTTCGATCCAGACCAGGCTATCATTTCGCATGGCGCTTTTCTCTAAGTGTATGGGCGGGTGCCGGCTTTAAGCTTTGGCATTGCTGTTGTTATTATTTAAAGCGTTACCAACAATTGCATGCCTGAGATGGCTGATCGATTTGAAAAGCTTTTGCGTGTAGCTTGAAAACACACAAAGGCAAAGCTACAACCGAGAGCTTTCAAACCGGTTAGTGGCTCAAAAGCTCGCAGCGCATGAGGTAAGCAGCGCGATCGGCATGAACGCAGCGCACAGAAATGAGCGTGAAGACTTTGTGAACGGTTCACAGCGGACGAAACAAAAAAGCGCAAGAGAAAGAAAGAGTGTGATAGAGAGAAAAAGAGAGAGAGAGCGTGTGAGCAAGAGAGAACGAGCAAAAGAATGTGTGCGCCTGTGTGTGAAAGAGAGCAACAAGTTTGCAAGTGGAAATTTTAACAATAAAATGCTGTGAAACACAATAAACTCGCCTCAAGGCAAAACCAACGCATAAAAATAAAATAATAATTATAAAATATGCAGCTAGTAAAAATAAAAACAAAAAATCTACAACAGAACAAATAATACCTACAAACAAAATAACTATTTATATACAAATTTCGAGCACAGCTCTTGGCAACAACAAATAATAAAAAAAAACGAGTTAAAATTTGAAAATAAGAAAAAATCAAATCACTCAAGTGAAAGATAGACAGAGAGAGAGAGCGTGTGCAGCGGCGAGTGACAGAGTGAGACAGTGTTAGACTTTCGCAGCAAACGTTGAATTTTGCACGCACACATCACAGATACAAACACCGAGATACATTCCAAAAGATACAATAAACAAGCATACTATTTCTCACAGTTCTGATTAGCGCTGAAAAATTTTGATGCAAAAAATGGAGTATGAGAAAATGCTGTACATGACAAGCGCTGGCGAGGTGAGTGTAACTAGCAACCGTAATATATAAATAGATACAGATACAAAAGTATCTACAGTTGTTTGTGTGTAAAGTCTAGCTGTTAGTGGGTGCTATTTGAATATAGTAAGCGCTTCTTGGCTTTGACAGCTGATAACCTATTCACTTGCGCTTATCAACACTGAAACGAGCAAAATGTGTGCGAGTGTGTGTGTGTGTGTGTTTTTGGGTTTGTATTTGCATCTTTTCGTGTGCTGTTTTGTGTATATATGCTCAAATTATTTGCGCAATTACCCTGAAGCATATGGCGGCTGATAATGTTTTTGGCAGCCATATGCGTTGCTTATTAACGTTGAGGCGCCACAAACAGCCATCATATGACTTTTAATTAGCAAAAGTACCAACACACAGAGACACACATTTGTGTGTGTGTGTGTGCTAGTGTGTGTGGCTATACTAAGTAGGTGTGCTGTAGCTCTGACAGCAGGCACAAATGAGTGTCACTAGGTGAGAGTCTGTACTGCGTCGCATTGTCTAGCATATGCTTGTTGCTGTTGTTGCTGCTACACTTGCCAGTTACATTTTCCATTTGTCTTATGGTATTTCGTTTTAATTACAACAACAGCAACAGCAGCAGCTATGTGAAGGCATCAAACGCTGGCAGCAACTTTCAAAAGATGCTTTCATTTTGCAAGAAGTGATTCTAAATGATTGTCAACTATGGCAAGGCAACAATAACAGCAACAGCAACAACAGCAACACCAACTAGCTGCAACAATGTCAAGCTGGCATTTCACTCGGAAAGTGCATTCCAATGCTGCAGCAGCAACAGCAGCATCATCATTTGACAGACAGACGCACATCGCGCAGCGGCAGATAGTTTTGTTGGACCTACTTAAGCTCTATATAAGCTATATACGCAAGACTTTGACGTCTGCCACAACAACAACAACAACAGCGAATAGGAAAAAAAAACTTGTATTTGCCATTTTTGATTGATTTGATGGAAATGTGTCTGCTGCGATTTTGTACGTCGTCGTTGTCGTCGCTTGTTGGCCTTCTTGCGTTTTCCAACCGCCGGACAACGTTGTTTTAGAAATGTGCATTTCGAGTGGTCGACCACAGTCGACACTCTCCGAATGCCTCATTATATTTATGGACATAATAAAATAAATACTGCGGCGCAACAATTAAAAATGCAAGCGCATTTGCCGCTTTCGCAGCGAGCGAAAACCAAAAGAAGTCGAAATAAAAAGCAGAAATAGAAAAGCTGAAGAAAAACTGACATGACATAAATATTTCAAGTAGCTAACTTTTCCATCAGAATTCATCAATTGGCCAACGTCGCTGCGACTCGGACTCGCACTCGAACCTGGACTCAGACTCGAACTCCGACTAGAGACTCGACTTTGTTGGCCCTTTAGCCATTTGGCCACGGTTTTCTAATAATAGTTGAAAATCAATCAAACTCATTACACAATGTAATCAGCTTTGGCTTGGCTCTGGCATTTTTGGGGTGTGGCCGCGCGCACCACTTGCAATGGCTAACCACAATGCGAATTGTTGTTATTACTTATGTGCGGTACACTGAGAGAAAATCATGCAATTTGCATTTAAGCTAAGTACATACGTGGAAAAAAACTAAGTCAAAAGAGACATTTTAAAAATTATGAAGTGTAAACATTTTTAAAATATGTTTACCTTCCGTTTGCCAACTTTTATACTTATTTTAACTAATTAAATTCTTCTGGAAAACTCAAATTTTTCTTAATTTTGTAAACTTAGGGACAATTTTAGAATCAATAGTATCTGCATTTAAATGCAGAGTATTTAAGACTTTTAAATAATGCATATTCTTATTATTTTTAAATCTGAAAATTCGAATTTAATTGTAGAATGTTAAAGAACTTTTTGAATTATGCAAATTCTAAGGACAATATCTTTCCCAATCTGAGAATCTTAAATGAATGAACATGCTTGATTATAGAATATTTAAAATTTAATTGAATTATAAAATATATATCATTTTAATCTGTGAATGTGTATGTACAAAAAACCAATAATATACACATTCTAAGAATATTTGTATGTTCGTTGAGGAGTTTTTAGGTTTGTTTTGTTATGCTGGCATTAAGAACGTTTTTTAATTATTTCAAGCAAATGCGAATTCTTGTAATAGGTATTTCGTCTTTATAGTTAAGTAATATTTACAAACAACTTTTAAAGAAAAATCGCTATGAGTTAAATTAAGAATATTTAAGAGTGAAATGTTCTGTAAATTTTAAGAATCAAAAGTTGTGCAACTTACTCTTACTAGCATGAAGGACATCCTCTTTTTCTGAGTGTATTGATAATTGTTGGCTTTTGTTGTGCGTTGCAAGCATTCGCAATTCGCGTAAATGTCGCCTGACTCTTATGCAAATTGAAATGAGTTACCTGAGTTAACTGAATTGGCTGAGCTGGCGCAATGTCTTTTCCACAGAATAATTGTCAATGCGTGCATTGCATAATGAGCAGCACCAGAAGACATCAGCCATCAGCCATTAGCCATCATCGGGCCAAGAGTCTGATAGAGTTCAGTGCCTAGACATTGGGCTGGGCACTTCAGATATGAGTATCCCACGCTGTGGGTGTTGTTGTGTGTCTGGTTGTGTGTATGTGTGTATGCCTGCGGTTACATTGCGCTCTGCTGTGCGCTGTCTGAGCTGGCTTTGAGCACTATCTGGGGTTGTCTAAATAGCTTTGGGAATGTTTAATGGCTGCCAAATGGAGAGTTCTAGAGCTTGCATCTAAATTAAACTACATTTTGCAATGTATTCGTGCTCCAACAGAGGTAATTATCCTAATGAGCAAGAGGTTTGGTTTAAGTAGAAAGCTCTATAAAATATTATTTGTAAATAGCTTTATTTAAATACTCATAAGACATGTTGAACTTTAGTATTTCCATATATTTGATTGACATTTTCATAAAGATCGGACAACAAACTCCGAAGTTGTTCTGGGTCGAGGGCTAAGGAAAAAAAACACATACACATACACGCATAAAGTCTGTTGAATTTAGTTAGCGTGTGTCTGATCTTGTGAGTGTATGTATAGAAGAATCTAATCTGATTGATGAACAACGCAAAGCCCATGTCTTAACAGATAGAGTCTTTCAGAGTTGGAATGATTACCTAGGTTCTTGGATTGTTCGCAGGCAGATGGGCAAACGTGATTACGTGGAGCATCCGACAAATTATTTGGAGCATAGGGCTGAACGAACGAATTGCCTTAGTAGCATTTGCTCTATATTTTAATTAGAATTTCTATTTTGTACAAAATTTTAAGTATTCAAAAATCTGGTATAGATTTCGCAATTTGGAGGTAGCAACAGCATGCGGAGTGAGGATCGTATAGATAGATCAGATAGACACAGACCGTATGACCGAAATTCAAAATTAAGTAAAACTTGTTTATGTTTCTTAATTTTGGGCATTACATTGATAACAGTATTGGGAATCTTTTGTGTATTCGCACCAAGGGCATGGTTGCAAAAGCTCCGATTTTGAAGGACTGTATTCTTCTGATTAATACAATTATGAAACGCGTATGTAAATATGAATATACGTATATTTATTATATTTGTGCATTGACGTATATCAGTGTAAATAAATCATCGTATGCATGTATGTATAATGCCTCGAATATCTGTATGCGAGTATGCTCTATTCAATATTTTCTTTTGATTTTTCTTATTAGCAAGGAAGAATTGATTTATAGAAAACTTCGAGAATTGGCTAATTAATAGTAAACAGAAGGCTCAGGAAATCAGAACTTTTGGAAAAATTCCGCATCAACATTGCTAACCAGAAATTACAGAAATGTGCGAGGCTATCTATACTTTAAAATACCGTAAAGTCATGAAAAATCATTGTCATATATAGTGTGCTCAGATATATTACGATATTCGGCTTCACAATACATTTTATTTATGTGTTATATTAATTTTAATTTTTCTTTGATTTGGTGGACAAGTGGGCAAATGGATAAATGAATGTATGTTGTGGTATGCGTTTAATTTAAATCGATCAATAAAAATAAATCAAAAATAAATTTAAAAAAAAATGCTTATGCTAATTACTGGACAACTCTGGTAACTAAAAGCTCTACTTACAGAGTGAACATGAAAAGGTTATAACCTTTTCAATAACCCGGAACACTTGGCATATTTGCAACTGCTACAGTTCTACATTTGCATTGAATCGTTTGCATAGCGCAGAGCCAAGAGAAGCTCAAATGGAGACACGATAGCATATTGGAGTGGCATAATCTAATCTCTGATCATTTGACTATAAGACTAAGTTAGCTTGGAACTGTTAGTGCCGTGTCACAAGTATTTCACCTTGCAATCTATTTGTTGTTGCATGAAATGTCGACAATTAAATGCAATGCAAACGACAAGTCCAAAGACTCAGAACTCAAAACTGCGCCGTCACGAACTGTGATCTATTCAAAAGCAAAACAAAAAAAATATAAATTCAAATAAATGCAAAAAAAAAGAAGAAAAAAATAATTAACGAGCGTTGTAAAAATAAACAGAAATAAGTCTTGTCGCTGTGACAGCTTAGCCCACGCATACAAGTGTCTGCGAAAACGGCGAGTATCTGTGAGTACGTCTATCTGTGAGTACGTGTATCTGGCTGTGTATCTATGTGGATTTGTGAACTAATGCTCGTGCCTCTCAACTCTTGACTTGTTGACAACGCTCTAGCGCGGCCCGTAACTTAGTAACATGGGGCTCTTTCTGTCTTTCTGCTGCAGTCATAATGCGATTAGAACAGATTAACCGACAATTGTCGCCGGTCCGTCACCTGAACACCTGAGTCTGCTGCTGCATTTGCATAGTTTGTTTTATTTAGTTCAAAAGATATACAAACACAAATACATGTGCATATAAAAATATAAATTAATTTAAATAACACTTGGCCATAATTCAACATCAACATCAACTTGGTCATGGCAGCTAAGTAGCGCTCAAGGCTGCTGCAATTGCAAGCGGCTACCCTTCACTTTGTGGGGGCAATTGGTGGCTAGATGGGGGCAACCTTTTTTCACACATACACACACAAACACATACATTCGCGTCAAGGCTGTCAGTTGGTTTCTTTGTTCCAGGCCTGGGCGCGCCTCGCGTAAAGCCGCGCTTAATTTATTTAAATAGATCGTGCGCTTGCCTTAGGCATTGTCCATTTTATTTGTTATTACGTTGAGAAGCAAAAAATAAATAAGAATGCCTAATTTCGTCGTGTCGCAGTTTGAATACTCTTGTGGAAATGTGGCTGACTTTTGAAATGAAAATTGTAAGAGCATATATATTATATATCTAAAGGCATCATTGACTTCTTGCAGGCGTTACACATTTTATGACAAAATTAGTATACCTTCTAAAAGGGTATATTCAATAAAAAACTGTCTATAAAAGCTAGCGGCCTGTTTGAGTTTTCAGTTTTCGCTTTTGGCGGGTTCTTTGGGCCGCAAGTTTTTATCTGATCGTTGCTTTATTAAAGCTTTTGTCGCTGCTTAAAGCAAACGTTCAGCAAACGTAAACTTGATTTGATTTTTGGGCTAACACACACACACAAACATACACAAACACACACAAACGCACACACACACACATGCCACATTCTTCGTCTCGGAATTGTTCTAATGAATTTTGATATTTTATTGTTTTTGCTTTACGGCCAAAAAGTACAGACAAATTGTTTAAACTTGTTTCTGCTGCCTGAGCCCAACATATTTTCAATTTATTATTGCTCAATATTATGATTGTTGATAATTTCCAAAGGCATTTATATATATATTTGTATATGTATATACATTTTTCGTAGCTTTTAAAGTAACATAAAATGTAATCAACAATTTTTTTGCTACCGGTTGACGTGTCGTATGCGAATTGTTTTGCTTCGTACCAACTCGAGATATGCTCTGAATTTGTGGACTACGCTGCTTCTTCATTATTTACATTTTCATGTATTCTTTTGTAAAAAATTTACACACAAAGTGTGTGTGCTTGTGTGTTTATGTGTGTGCTGACATGACTCAATTATGATTTCATTCTTGTTTTGTTAGATTTTGTCGAATGCTTTAAGATTTTTATCAGCTAACTGAAGCATTGAACTGAAAGCATATTTTTTAAGATAAATATTTCAGCTTCCGCTCATCAGTATAAGCATCATATTGTGATATAATAGAACGAGTGTATTTGGTTAGTAAGTGCTTTTCTCGACTTTTTTTAAGTAATTGAAAAAAAATAAATAGTTTTCTGCTTGACTAGCAGCAACCCCTGTTGTAGAGTACTGAAGCACATCATATAGATGGATTAACAGCTGGTGAGGCAGGTTTTTCTTGTATTAAAGATTCTTAGCTTAGTTTTAAATATTATTATATAACAGCTTTTAAGCTGAGACTTTTATTTTATTTAACGAGTAAACTGATAAAGCTTATATATTAAAAAAAAAACGTTTAAGCCCCTTATTGTAGATCAATAATACTTATACTTATTACTCACTGGACTATATGGACAATATTGAATTACGTTAAGTAGCATTAGTTAGACAAGGGAAGCCCCTTTAAAAGGCTAGCTATTTATTAAATATGCACACGCTTGGCGTTTTAATCTAACAAAATTAATTGATCTATCGCATCGAAGGTAATTACACTTCACGAATTCGTATATAACGTTTTATTTTTGTACTTTTGTTCTTCTGTTATTTTGGTATTTTTGTAAATGGCCATAAAAATAGACCTGTCATTTAAATGGATCTATTAAATATTGTGGTTTTTCTAAAAATATAACTGGGCGTTTACAAAACAACTACCTGACGGCCATTGTGTCAGTTCAATTCCCATACCCAGATCAATTGCCGTTGCGGTTAAAATAATTGTGAACTTGTATACGTTTTTTTATTTGTTACTCGCTCACAAACTGGGCAGGAGTATATTGGTTTTTTTGTTTGGAATGCCTTGCTGTCGGCGCTTTTAAATCTGGAGATTTGAACTTGGAATTCTGTAACATTTATTGTTTAAAATAGTTAACCACATCCACTATGGATTGGTTAAACTTGCCATTTAACAAGTATATCACGAACATTTTTATTCTCCATGGTTGTAGAGCCGAAGTAGTTAAATCTTAACAAATACAACAGACAAGCTCCTCTAATATAGGGGCGTGGCATATCACAAAACTGATATAAGTTGGTTTCTTTGCTGTTTCTTTTGAGTGGTTCTTAAACTGTGAACGAGTGTTAGGCAGTCGCTTACACCCAACTGCAATATTCTCACTTGCCTTTTTTCATTTTGGTCCATTGTTGTGCCAACTTTGACACCCAAGCCGTTGGCTGTATACAATTTGTTGGCGCTTTGCTTTTGTTTCTCTTTATTTAAAAACAGGAACAGCGGCAGGCAACGAGAACAAGCATATCATATTATTTTTCAAATTACCAATTTGTGACGTTTATTGTGGGTGATATGCCATTAAATACAAGCACACACACATACACACACCTATGCATCCATATGTGTATGTGTATGTGTGTATGGCTTTATTTAAATCTGAACTGATAGCTTTATTGACAGCCGTCTCATGTCAGAGCTGCCAATGAATTATGGTTCCAGTTGTTGTTGTCTGTCCGGCTGTCCAATTGGCCAATTGGCTAAATGCGGCACAAAAAAGGCTTTTGTTTGCACCACACATTGTAATGAAATTACGTATTTGTAGGCTATTGGAAACTCCGACAGAACTTGAGCTTGTTAGAGCCGCATTGTTGTTGTTGTTGTTATACTGAAAGATTTAATTAAAAAATATATATACGAAGTTTGTTTGCTCAATGCGATGCCAGCAGGAAATGTGAAACGGAATAACCCAAATGATCTAATTGCCACAAGATACAAGTTACCTACGCTCTGAGGATGTGGGCATTGTCTCGATCGGTAATGGATAATGGACATAACTTGAATTAATCGACATATTTATTGCAAAAAAATACAGAAATTATTTCTTTTTCTTTTCACAGTGGGACAAGAGTTGTCCGCCTGTGGCGTGAGCAGACTCCAGAATTTTATTATAGAATTGTGTGTAAATATATATATATATATAACGGTGTGTCCTAAGAATTATATATTAAAGTTTATGGGAAATGAATTTGAGGAATAATGCATTTTTCGAATAGTGTGAAACACCCATGAAATGAATTTAAAAAAATATCTTTGAAAATTGAGTTTTGTGGATGGTAAGCAAAATAATGGTTATACATGGTTTCTCGCCATTTTCCCTGGAATTTCCCTCGTCTTTACTACAGTCAAAATTTCAGCTTAATAGCTCTTACGGTTCGGGTTGTGCGTTGATCGCTAAACAGTCTGTCAGTCATTCGGTCAGGTCAAACAGTTTTATATATAGAGATATATTTTTGTGCATTTTAATAAACATATATGTGTATGCATATAATATCAAGCTCTATATATATAGGTGCATGGGAATAAGTGATGTGGACATATATCAGATGAGCTTTTTTAAAGATCAAGCTAGTAATATATTTAACGCTTACTCGCCCACAAAATGATATAGCTCACAATTTAAAAGCTATTGCCCTTAATTTACAGTTTTAGAGTCAACAAGCCAATAAAATTACTCTGTCACAAACAAAGCCTCTGTTCTACTCTTGTGCTATTGAATTGCTTTTAATCAAATTATGTTTTTGGGACAGTATATTTTGTTCGAAACTTTAACTTCCGAAATTTTGAACGGAACAGAGTATTGAGCTGTCGGATGATAATATTTTATTTTATTTTTTTTTTTAAATAACCAATAAGGAATTTCTCGATTTATTTGTGAATAATTTATGACAATAAGTACAAAGAAAGAATTTGTTTTAATTTAATTAAATTTATTTCATTTGCAGTCTTTGTATTGTTAAATAACCAATTAAGGACTTTTCATATATGTGTGTATGTGTTTTTTGTATAATTTATGACATCAGTTAAGAAGAAAGAATTGCTTTGGGCCATAAAAATGTTGCAAGCAGGCTAAGCAAGGGGCTGAGTGTTTATGGACTATAAATAGCAGCAATTGGTTGACATACGCTCCTCGGTTACCTCGCCGTAGCCCAAATGCACTTTGTTTAGCACTCTTAACAGATTTAATGGGTTTTTTATTGAGTCACTTGAGTCACTTACTGCTTACTGCTCACTGCTAGCAGCAGCAGTAGTAGCAGCTGCGCCTCGAGCCTGTTGAATCACTTGGCCAGTTTGTGTGCTCTCCAGTCTCTAGGCTATTCTGTGGCGGCCATTGAGAGCCGGGGAAAGCACCCTTTTGGGCCTAGGATAGTAACAAAAAAGCACAAATTTTTCTAATAGCAGCAACTACGCAATGTTTAAACTAAGTTTTAGCGCTGGCAATTAACAGTCAGACGAGAAAAGCTAACACAGAAAGTCACTCATACGCCCTGTGCGCCAACAATTAAAACATAAAAATTGTATTAACATCGTGACTGGCTAAAAAGAAAAAAATATATTGAAGCTATGTCCATATTGTATTGGCCATTGAAATTGCACGGCAATAACTAGTCACGCCCCCAACCCCCAACCCGCCGCCTAACAAACCCAAGAATAGCTCTCGGCGTTGAACTCTTTGGCTCTGAGCTGAAACTGCAAATCGGAAAATCCAGAATGAGCTGTTAAATTAATAATAAGCGCACAACACACACACACAGACCCATGCGTCCGCTCTCCTCCCCACCTTGTACACCCTGTGCCACCCGCCTGGAGCACGGGCCACTGCTGTGAGCTTAATGAAAAACCAGTTTACCAGCATTCAGCATTCACTCAGAGGCAAAAATCGTAGATGATAAAAAAAGAAAAAAACTAAATTAAAAGCCGCAGCAAACGCAGCTGCACAGAAAGCGAACAATTTATATTTATTGCAGTACCAGCAATTAACACAGGTAGGAATCGTGTGTATATAGTATATAATGAATACATAAAGTATATGGAGCATATATAACAAGCTAGAATTATCGCGTCTACAGTGCAAATCTAGAAGATGCCCTGTGAAATGACTATTGTAAAGTGCTCATATGAAGAGCACCCTGTATCTAAATTTGTTATGATAAATAGACGTTACTATAAAAACTAATTAGTTCCAAATTTTCCATCTGTATTTTGATGTGTTTGTGAGTTTTTGATTTGTGAATACCCTGCTCTGAAATCTTTCGTTCGTAGACCAACGTTGATAGACACCCTGTACTGGCTTAAAGTGCGAATGACCCCGTTTCGAGTAATTGTCTAACAGACACCCTAACACCCTTTACTTATCTGAAGTATTTTATATTGAGATAGCCCGTTCCAATGTCTTACATCTCCCTGTACTGGGCTACAAAGTGCTTACCTAGTGAACAGCCTGTGAATGGACTAGCCTAAGCTGATTGACAAGTGGACACCCTGTATTTTGATTACAAGTACATAGTCACTGGTGTTTTACTAACGCGCACCCTGTACTCATGTCGAAATGTGTTTGACCTGAAGATACCCTGGGTATTTTTTGTACTATTAACTGTTAGACTGTAAATGCCCTCTAATCAGATGTCGAGTGGTTAGTCTTAGCCACCTTATATTGCCAATTAATTTGATTTTGTCAATTTGGGCCAAGGTAGGCGAAGCTAACAGTGAGACATTTTTGTTACTCTAGAATAAAATTCAACTACTAGAGTACATATATCTTATAAGCCAGATGTTAAACATTGATATTTGTCTGCCTGTCTAATGAAAGATAATTAAAACTAAAAAAATTGATAAAGGGAATATACATGCTTCGATCTTAAAATCTATAAAAGTAATTCACCTTGTGAGGGGGCATATCGCAAAACACTTTTGATTTGGATCCCGCGTCATTGTTTGCGGCTCATATAATAAAAAAAAGCACACGGCTCTCATTGTTGTTATTAGTTTAAGATCAAATGCCTGTACACCCCCCCCTATAAGCAGTCAGCTACCCCGGTTGAAGCTGAGAGCTGTGCCTCATTTGGGTTTTTTTTGCATTTAGTTTTGTTGTGACGTCACAGTATGAGCTGGAGTCACAGTCCATGGGTCGCTTCGGCTCGACTCGGCTTTGACTTGATAAATGTGAAAATCGATGCGATTTAAAGCTTAGTACAAATTTTGCTGTTGTCGGAAGAGCGCTGTGAAACGCTTTGGAAACTTAAGGTTAACATTAAGAAAACAAATCGAAAATAAAAAATAAAATAAAAGCAAAAAAAAAAATTTGCCACATTTAGGGCAGGTAGGTGCCAGCCAGTTTACAAATTAGAAAGGCAGGCAAAAAGAGTAAAAGAAAAAATTTGAATAAACTTTAAACTTGACTTGAAACGTGCTAATTAAACAGTGGCTCAATTTGAGCAATTTAATTTTTGATTAAAGCCTTTAGAGGCTGAGGCCCAATTAGCAGTTCATTGGAATGTGGCGCCATAACTAATTAAAGTGATTGTTTGCCTTGCAGATGCCGCACAGCTGTAGCAGCCAGTTCAAGCTTGCCGCAGAACAGTTCCAGGGCCAGGGCCAGACGGACACCTATGCGGCCTACGCCTATGCAGATAACTTTGATTTGTCGCTGCTGCCGGAAGACGCCGGCATACCTACCACAGTTTATCAGTACAACGCGCCGCAGATCAAGATCGAGGCTGCCTGGGAGTGTGCCAGCGATATACAGGAGCTGCCAACGGTGACTGCTGCATATGCCAGCTCTGGCCAACAGCTGATCCCGCCGCCCCCGCCCGCATATCCGCATAGCGCCTACCCCTCACCACAGTCCAGTCCGCAGCAGTCGGAATTTGCCTCGTTTGCCTACGGCAAGTACAACGGCAGCTACGACTGCCTGAGCAGTCCGTGTCCCTCGCTGGATGCCAGTAGCATTAAGCAGGAGCTACATATATTGCCACCCTCGCCGCCCGAATCGAATTGTGAGACGCCCTCGCCGCGCTCTGCCTGCAGCGACAGCAGCAGCATTAAAGCGGAGCCGCTGGATGCCGACGTGGAGAGCTTCATAGATTTGAATACGCTTCTCCAGCAGCAACAGCAGCAACAGCAGCAGCAGCAACTGTTGGACATTAAGCCGAATCATCAGGTGCTGCGCGAGTGTCTGGAGGACACAACATTCCAGCGCAAGCACAATCTCAAGCCCTTGGCGCTGGAGTCCTTTATTGGCGGGTTAGCTGAGGTGCGCGGTGACTTTGAGCCGGTCATATCGCTGGCGCTGGAGCATGCCAAGCGTGAGGCGGACGCCATATGCGCGAAGCTGCAAATATCGCAGGGTGAGCACAGATAAACGCACGCACACGCACACACACGCACACACAGACAGAGACAAACACACACACTCACAGTGAACTGTGACTAATTGTAATTTCTTGTCCGACAGATCCAAATGCCTGGACAGCCGCCCAGGTGCACGCCTGGCTACGATCCACCTTGGCACAGTTCAAGCTGCCGCCGGCTGCCAATTTGGAGTTGCAGTTCAGCGAAGACGGCGCCGCGCTTGTATTACTCAGCGAGGAGGAATTCACGCGTCGTCTGCCCGAGGTAAGCCCCCCCATACTCTCCCCTTAACCATGCTCCACTCGATCAATATGACTTACCCAACCCAAATATACAATGAGTGTATTACAAAATCGAAGCGGGGTAGCTAATAAGCATAATACAAGAGCGGTGGACAATGCAAATGGCAAAAGCAAAAGCCAGCAAGCAAAACGAAGCCACACAGAAAAATACAAAAATACCAATCAATGCGATTGAATTGAATTGAATTTCGCGTACGAACTAACTCAGCTCTAAGGTGAGAAATGAGAGAGAGGCAAAAAACAACAACAAAAGCAAAACAAAATATATAAAAAGCAAAACAAAAAACAAGTTTCGTAACTTGCCGTTGACGTCATGGCCCAGGCCCGACACCAAATCGGAAAGCAAACCTGTTGCCAACAATTAGGCAAAAAAATAAAATAAAAATGATAAATAAAAAACAAAACTGGCGGCAGCCAAAAACTACTCTAAATGCGCTCCTCGAGAGCCAAGTCAAGTCCCCGTCAACACTTTGCCAAAAATATAAAAATGATTACATTTGCCATCAGCCACAGTGGGTGAAATGTTGTGGTTGTTGTTGCTGCTGTTGCTGAGTGCAGCTAAATGAAAACAAAAGACTGAAGAAACGAACGCGACTAAAACCGAACCGAACCGAACCGAAACCGAAATGCGAGAGCAGTCCCGCACACGAAATTAGTAACCGTGGTCATGGCTGTAAAGGTGAAAGAATGTGTGAAGGTTGTTTGGTGAAACTGCACGGCACTTGGTTGATTACGAACCGCAGTCTCGGTCGACACAGCGTAGCAGTCAAGGCACAGTGGGACAAATTAAACAGTTTTTGATAATGTGTAAGAAAATTGGAATTTTTTATTACCAAGTTAAAAAGGGGGTATTTATGAAAAATATAGCAAAAGTAACACAAAGTGATTAGTAAAGTTAATCGGTAAGTTTTTTTTTATAAATCCATATACCATATTTTTCATATTGATATGTGTAGGAGAAAATATAGAAGTCTGAGCAAAAATATAAACTAAAAGTGATTGCCGCAGTGAAGGCTGGGTGAAACTTTTTGAACTAATGTATGTAACAAGCAGAAAAAATACATTTCCGACTCCAAAATATAAATGTATAAATTATCAGCAAGATGAGCTGAGTCGATCTAGCCATGATTTATCGCTCCGTCTCACATTCTATATGAGCGCGTCAATCCAGAAAACTAACAGGGACTTAAAGTAGACAATAAATGTTGCCATACACCTTTTTCAGATCGAATTGAGAGACTTGGATTCTTATTGTTTTTTTCTTAAGTAAACAACATGGAATGATATATCAGATTATATCAAATAACCAATCAGGAATGTAAAGAGGTGTGGAAAGGTCTTATACGTGTATTTGCATTTCGAAGTCGCAGTATTTGCTCCACTGTGCACAGCCCCAGCTTAAGCTACAGACACAGCTCAGATGACAGTGGGGACGACGACGACGGCACTTGAATTGAGCCAACGACCAGCAACGACATTGCAAGGTGAAAGTAAGTCGCAATGGTTGTTGTTTTTGCTGTTCAGCCACTTGCTGTGTTGTTGTTGCTGTTGTAGTTGCTGCAACTGCAGACAACGCGCTGGGAACGCATAATTTATGAGAGCAGTTAGCAGTTAGAATTTGAATTGATGTGCCGTCTAGATTGCTGAGTTCGGGAGAGAGAGAGAGAGTGATAGAGATTTATGCGAGATTTACATTGGGCTCAATTGATATTTATCTATGTGTGGTTCGCTTTCTTTTAGAGCGGCAGCACATTGCACGCACAGTTGGAGATATGGAAGATGGCCTATGCCGATCAGCTGGGCAATCAAATGGACACCGCGCCGCTTTGGTCCACAGCAACAACAGCAGCGGGCTATCAGGCGCCAAATGTGGAGCACGAGGAGAGCGAAGGTGTGTAGTGTGAGAGATTCTTAGTTCGATATATATTCTAAAGTTTCTCTGAACATTCATAGATGATGAGGACATGGAGGACATGACTGCGGCGCCAGCTGTGCTTACAGCCACGCCCACGGCAACAACAACGTCCACCAAGCGCACGGGCGGCGCACGCAACGGTGGCAGCTCCCACATTCATCTATGGCAGTTCCTCAAGGAGCTGCTTGCCGCACCGCAAGTTAACGGCACAGCCATACGCTGGATAGATCGCAGCAAGGGCATCTTCAAGATCGAGGATTCGGTGCGCGTAGCCAAGTTGTGGGGCAGGCGCAAGAATCGACCGGCCATGAACTATGACAAGCTCTCGCGCTCGATACGGCAATACTATAAGAAGGGCATCATGAAGAAGACGGAGCGTTCGCAGCGTCTGGTCTATCAGTTCTGTCAGCCGTATCATCAGTGAATTTCGGCAACAGTTCCGTTTGACTAGTTCTAAGTCTATTTATTTTTTTGGTAGTCGTAAGAAGCCCAAAACGCCACCCACCAACCACACAACCAAGTTTTGCCCTGACACTATGCTCGGCTAGCCTCAGCGACTAGCGAGTCTTAGTGCTTGTACATATATCTAAATACTCACATTCCATTTATATATATATACCTTTATATATATATATATATAAACATATATCTATCTAGCACAGTTTAGGCACGAAGGTAAGTTCGTGCATTAGTTCGACTTTAGTTCAAAGACTCGACTTGAGTTCGACTTTAGTTGTTTAGGCTCAAGCCAATGGCAGCAGGCGAAGGTAAGTTCGCCCTGTCGGCGGCTTTAAGTTTTACTTAATCAATCAATCAATCAAGTTTTTATATATTGCATGTGGGCGTGGCAGCTAACTGCATATGTTTGACTTACCGGCGACATCTTTATTCAAATGTTGACTGCACCAGCGTTTGCTCCTGTTCCGCTGCCCGTAGCCCGAGTCCAATTTGTTGCAACTGTTGTTGCTGGCATGTGGCATAGTCGACACACATAAGACCAGTGGTAACAGCACGTGGCACTCAATGGGCGCGGCCGTGTGCGGCATGTGGCAGCAAACGCTGCAAGCGGCAACAACTGAAGGTGTTGCGGTAATTTTAGGAACCATATATCTATGATATATCAAAAGTAAGTTCTATGAACAACAAAACAAGCAAAACAATTTGTAACGAATATAAATGTGAATATGAATATGAATATGAATAACTTTTGTATGTTTAGCTATAAAGCGCAATTTATGTGCTCTATTTAATTGTTAAATTCTTGAAAATTTTTTCTCTTCTCTTCAAACGAAAAGTTAAAAAATTTTCGAACGCATTTTATTTGTTTTTTGGCACTTTTTCGCAATTTCAATTAATTTGTATTTATTTTTGCTTAACTGGTGTCGGTTTAATTAGTACGCAAGTGTGCGTGTGTGTGTGTGCCTGTCAGCTAGTTAATTGTATTATTTATTTTTGGTTAATTTTTAAACAAAAGTCAATTGTTGTGCGTATAATTATTTATGTTTTTTGATTGTGCAATTTGCATTTGCAATTTGCGTAACTTGCAGCTTGGCTTATTTGTTTTTGTAATTTTTATCACATTTAAATCAAACACACAGATACATACATATATATAGTATGTAAATGCAAAATTTGCATAGTTATAGATACGTAGATATAGGCAAAATAATAATGATATTGTTTGAGCGCTTTTGCGTTTTATTATGCACACGACTTACGTTTAATTTTTTATATAATTATTATATTAATTTTTATTATTGTTTGCATGTTGATGGTATGCAAAACTATTTATTTATTTATTTAACTAACATATTGTCATGCTCAAATAACTATTCTCGTAATAAAAATCACAGCAAAAAACACACGACTAAATTAAATTACTAAGCAATGAAGTTTGGGTAGAGAGTTTCTGACCTTTTTATTGGTCTCTAAATGGATGATAAATATTTTTGTAATTTACATTTGTGTTTTATACCCTGAACCCATTAAAAATGGGTATAAGGGTAAATTGTATTTGTGCAAAATCCAAACGTATGTAACAGGCAGAAGGAAGAATCTCCGAACCCATAAAGTATATAAATTCTTGATCAGCACCAATAGCCGAGTCGATCTAGCCATGTCCGTCTGTTTGTCCGCCTCCCGGACCTGTGTATCTGGATCTGAGAATCTAAGTTTTAGAGGCTTGTTTCATAAACCCACTCCACTTAATATACCCTGTACAGGGTTTTATAGGGATTTGCACTGTAAATGAATACAAATAACCTTTAAAGTGCTTGTAAAGCGCGTTTTAAATCGAAAAGTTTTTTGGAATCGAACATGTACTTAAATTCGAGGGCATTTCAATAGTGTTGTAAAATCAGATTTGCCAAACACAACTTTGAGATTTTTGTTTGCACAGAAATAACATTGATGGAGTTTAAGCGGTTTTATTGCAGGTAAAAAAAAAATGGATATCTTATATTTTCGTGTTATTTTTAGGAGTTTTTACATCAACTGACTGTGAATAGGCCCATGAACAATTGCTGAAGCTGCATAGGCATTTACAGTTCTGACTCCACACAAATTGCGTTTCCAAACAAAGCTGTCACATCGCGGTTATAAAACATATCTTTAGATTTTTTTAACTGTTAGAATGTTATGAGTTTTGATTGTTAATATTCTAAAGATAATTTGCAGCTAATTGCATCAGCTTACTGAGAATATACAGGGTTGTCAGCAGACGTATAAGCAAAGATTTTAGACGGTCCTAAGTCACATTTTCTACTTTTTGTTTGAAATACAAATGTTTAATTAAATTAAACATATTATTTACAGAGACGATGCTTAATAACGTGAACTAAGCATATTATTAAATACTAAATTTGCGTTCTTTTGGTAATTAGCTTACAAGCAATTCTGTTTGCTTCATTAAATCCAATAATAACTTTTAAGAAAGTTCTAATAAATGTCACCTTACTACAAAAATAAAGCTGTTGGCCCTTGATTCTGATTTGCAGACATTCGGTCAACTTTTGTGGCAGCCCTCGTGCCAGTTCACGTGCTGTAAAAAGCTTTTTAGATTGCCTTGTCAGTCAGTGAGGGGCATTGCACTCGTGTGTGACCGTTTGCAGAGACGATTTTCATGCAGGGAGCGCATTTTCAATCAACTATTTTCAATGCTATTTGCGCTAACAACGCTTCGATACACAAGCTTGGGGTGAGGGCGGCGATAGATAGTGGGCGTGGCCACTGAATGGCAAAAGGAAACTGAATAAATACATGGGGTCGCATATGTATATGTATGTGTAGCATGCAAATGCATAAGGATTGAACAGAGTTTGATCCGACTTGCACAAAATGGTATGCTGCTTATTACAGCGGACATGGCTTAACATGATGAGGCTTAAGTTTGGTAAATATTTTGGGACAGAGATATGCATGCATATGCCCGGCCTTGACTAAGATTATTTTAATGCGCTCCACTGAGTTTATCGTCTTTGTTGTCCTGATGCGAATGCGGCTGCGGATGCGGATGCCCGGGAATCTGTCTGTATCTGTATCTGTGCCGTTGTCGTTGCCCGTGGGCTGCTTCATTTAAATACTAAATCGCATTAAATGCCATCAAGTGGAAAATTCCCAAAAGCAATAAATTTATTGCTTGCTGCACAACCGTTCACGATCACGCCCGGTTCTCGCCCTGCTGCCCAGCACCAGGAACCCCTAACCACATCCACGTGCCGCCCGTCATCTGCTCTCTCACTTTTTTTTTCGGGAGGGGCTAGACCTATACAATATTTGCATTAAAGCTTACAGACGGGCTGACTGGCTAGCTGGCTGGCTGGCAGGACGCTTCTGTTTATCCTTAGACTAGCAGGCTTTGCCTTTGTCTTTGTGCTTGTTCCTTGTCTTTGTCATACGCTCGTTTGGCTTTTATCTCTCTCCCTTTGCTTTTTATTTTTGGGGCTTGGGGCGTAAACTACAAAGACAAATATTTAATTGAATTAGTGCAGCTAGCGTTAAGCAGACAATGCAAGGCCAAGCCCACCTTATAGTCTGACCGAATTTGAATATTGTATTTTGAGACTCATCAACAGGTTCGTTAAGATGCGACTTTAGCGGAACACCCGCAACCCCTGAAAATCCAATTCTCATGTTAATTTGTCAATTGCAGGCAGGGCCCAAATGCCTTTACAATGGGTATTACAATTGTATGACTCAATTTGTTGCATATTTTAGTTGACTTATCATTAAGTATACATATTCTTGATGTATCTGAGCTATATTGTTATTTAAAGCTATATTTAATAATGTTTTTTTTAAGATTCGTATTTTTGTGGCAGTCAGTGGACATGTCGAATTATTCGTATCAGAGAAATTTAATTTGTTTTTCAAGCTATCTTGACCAAGTTTTGAAATAGCTATCTGAAACTCACCTAACACATAGAGATCGCAATCTTATCTCAGAAATCAAGTGCTTTTCGTTTATATATAGAAATACAATTGTATAAAGTAATCCAATGCTAGTGAGGATATATAGCTCTTGGGAAATATATTGATTGAAGGTAGGGTATTTTATCTTCGACATGCTCCTGCTTATTGTTTTTCTTCTTGATGCTGTCAAATTCTGATAATTACGCTTGGCTTGTCCACGCAGTCGTCCTTTTTTAGTTGCCTTTGGTGCTAAGCCTTGGTTACCCGTCTGCACGACCCTTCTTCCCCGTCCACACTCATCCTTTGCTTGCCTTTTGCCAGCCAATTTGTTGGACTTAAAAATAGCCTCGCATTTTGCGCGCATTGATGGACTTTTTACCTTTTGTCGCTTTGTTGCTGTTGGTGCTGCCTTTTAATTAGCATAATTGGTGATATGAAGCATCCAGCCACCCCATTCCCACCCCACCCTTCACGCATATAACAGATGAATGTGCTCTTATGTGCTCCGGCCACTTGGTTGTACCGCTTTCATATTCGCTTGCTAATTAAATGTGGCGCCTAATCAATTAAGATTTTCCAACATTTTGGGCAGCCAAGTTGGCTTAAATTTTACATTAGACTAATTCGGGCTACAAATTGCTGGCCAGCTGCGCGGCATACCAAAATGTGGTAAGTGAAAATTCAATTTAAATTGATGTCGACCGGCCGACAAGCCACGCCCAGCTGCAGGTAAGACCCGGGCAAGTATATGCCATTTAACTTAAGTACCCTGGCCACGGACGCTCTTTCTCTACAGACACACACACACACACTCACAGAGCGGAGCCGGCCGCCGTTTTGTGGCCACGTAAAATAGGTAACAAGTGACCGAACATTTGGGTCTACTTGGACTCCACACGTCCAGCAGCTCGGCCCATGACTGCGAAATCAGCGCGCCAGCCTCTAAAGCAGCAACAATTTTAAAAATTCATAAAATTGTTGTTGGCTGCCAGGCGGCAGCCACAGGACTCGACTCAGGATGTGTTGGCTACGCCTGGCTACTCCATTTTTCAAGTGTGTTTCAAATCTTTTTTTCTTTTTTCCTGCTGCCCCACCTGATCTACTCAACTGTCTGTCTGACTCTCTGTCTGTCTGTCCGTCCAGCTGCCTGTTTGCTGGTAATGAAATTACAATTTTTGCTAGCCAAGTCATGAAAAATAAATGAGGCTTAAGCGCATTGCATAGCCAGCGCCTGCAATCTCAACCCCACACAATATATACACACAAACACATGCTCACACAAGCTAACACACCAATGCACACATGCCATTCAACAAGTTCACCAGCCCCTGCGCTGCGAAAATATACGCACAATCCAAAATATCATCCAAGAAAAGAGCAACCCAACCGCAAGGACAACGTCCTAAGCCGAAACTCAAAACTGAAACCTAAGCCCAAAAGTCAAACCTTTTCTGATGCTCTGCTATCAGTTATAAAGATTTTTTCATATCATTTGTGATAAATAAATAAATGATTATATAAAAACGAACATAAATATAAAAATAAATGTTAATGTTAATGCTTATGTAAATATAAAAAGAAGATTTAGGTATAATGTGTGCAAGGGTATTTATTCGTCGTTTTATCAGAGTTTCATCATTTTTTTCTTTTACTTTTTACCGCTTTTCAATTAACTTAAAATATATACGAGCTTTGCGACCGCCGCAAAGGGAGCGACGCCCTTTTTTTTTTTGGAACAATTTGCCTTTAGTTCAGTTTTTATTCCTCGATCATTTTTCCAGTCAGTTTTGTTTTGTTGCCTACTTTTGAGCGCAGGCAGCATTTAGTTAAGTGCGTTTGATTTTGGGGCCAAAAGGCCCCCTCGACACAGGTTAACAGCGCGTAATGC